GCCCCTTGCTGCCACTTGGGGCTGTGCCGCAGTGATATCGGCTGTGCAGACGTGAGCAGCACAGTCTGAGGAGCACAGCACAGCGAGGCAGCGTGTGGGACTGGACTGAGGGAAGGTCTGCAGGGCTTTGGAAGGAAGGAAGGCTTTACTCAGGGATGGGAACTGCAGGCTGTGTGGCTGCTGCCCTGGCAGCACCAACCTCCTCTGTGTGTCTGGGGTTCATGGCCAATTGCACCCACCCAGTGCTGTGGGTGACCCCAGCTTGGGTCACTCTCCCAGCCTGGTTCATCTTCCCAGCCTGGGTCACCCTCCCAGCCCTTGCCAATGCACTCCCAAACCATTTGGGTTTGTGTGATGCTCCTCACCAGTTCCCGACCCATGTTTTCATTGCTGTCAGAGCACTGAGCACTGGCAGCAGCACACCCTGCACACCCTGTGTGCAGCTCTGGGAATTTGGCTGCACAGAGAACAGGGACAAGGTCACGTTGTCTGAGGTGCTGATCAGTAACAGTCCAAGCAGGGTTGGAGCTAGAGATTCAGGGATGCTTTTCCCTCCACTTCTGCTGTTGTATGGCAAGAAGGCACTACAGCAAACAAAACATCCTAATCCAAACGCTTATGCAATAGTTTCTCTGATGTTTGTTTCGTATTCATGGGGATCTTTTAATCTCAGATGCAATCTCTTCAGCATTTGGGTGGCTGCTTATGCCTCCCACAGCTCAAGGTGCTCAGCTCTGGCTCCAGAAGCCCCTGCCCTGCACAGGCCAAGGCAGCACCTAGGCCCAGGCACAGAAAGGCATCCTTTGTGTGCAGAGCTGCTTGTTTAGCTCCAGGCTGACTCACACAAATGTTCCAGTGACTCAGAGGAGCAGATACTTGGTCATGGAGACATTCTGTCCTAGGGTCTGAGGTTCAGCAATTCAGCTGCTGTTGCTGGTAATAAAACCTTTGCACTAATAGCTCAGGGCTCTCAAGGTTTTTGAACATTATCCTGTTAAGTTGGCTGCAGAAGGGGTTTGTAAACGTGCCAGGCACAGAGCCCTGTGCCCAGCCTGGAAGATGTTTGGATATGATCCAGAGCCCCTTTGCTTCGGATTGCCTGTAATTAAAATTTCATACTACCTTCTGGAGGTGAGATTTGCATGCAAGCCATGCTCACCCCAGTGTCCTGCCACCTAAAACCGTTTTTCGCCAGTGCTAGAGGTGCTGTTGTTTTGAGTGTGTGAAAGGAGACAGCCTGTTCCCGACCAGATTATCAGCTTCAATCTTTCGTGGGGCTAAATTCTGGGAAATTTCAGGAAACCACACACAATGAGAATGCCATTCATGTCAAAAGGATCAGGAGCAGAGCTAAAGACAGGAATTAGAGTGTTCACCTCTAAGCAGCTTTGGTAAAATTAGGTGCATTTCTCTGTGTTTTGGCTCAGTCCTCAGTCAGCACCTTTGGAGCTGCTGGGATATGGTTTAGCCTTGTGCTTCCAAAGAGCCTCAGCCCAGCTGAGCTGAAGGAAAGC